GCTGAGGCAACAATTCTATGTTGGGTCATACAGCATATCCAGAGGGCTCACTGTAAGCAGGGTCTCAAAGAATTATCTGTACATTCATGTTCAAAGTAGTGTTATTTGCAATGGCTGAAGTGTTAAAGCAATCCAAGTGTCCATCAAGGATGAAAAGACATTCAAAGTGCAGTATATACACGCAATGGGACACTACCCCACCTTTAAAAAGGAAAGTCTGACCGGATTAGTGCAGGGCTTAGCCAGGCGCTGCTCAGAGGAGTGGACACTGGAGCTGAGCCAGGAAGGGGAGCAAGAAGACAGGAGTCACAGTGTCACCGAAGGGGCAGGCAGGGAGGAGCATGACGCACTGAAGAACCGAAAGGCCAGGAGGCCGCAGAGTGAGCACTGGCAGAGAGAGCCAGGCTGCCAGGCTGAGAGTGCAGGGCAGTGCAGCACACGCTCAGCACCTAGCAGGCCTGGTGACCCCAGCCCCAGTACAGAAACAACAGCAATTCGCTAAACACCGTCAGATGCAGTGCTCCTCAGCAGTCTCCAGACAGGGAAGTGAGTATCATAATCCCCCAGCTCCGGCAACAAAAGCCCTGGACAGCTGGAGGTGTCTCAGATATATTAGGAAGCCGTTAACTTTCAGGATTTTCCCCTAAGATGTAGTAAAAACAGCAAAACCCTCTGGCCTTTTCAATACATATAGTACATGAATCACACCACCCATCCATAGTCTGACTTACATTTCTTCTTAGAATGCTGACCATTTATAGCCCCATTACTGTGAAGTCACACAGAACTTTCCTCACAATTGCTTCTGTAGTCCACCTTTTATGCATTTCAAAATTACTCGGAGTACACATGTACTGAAACATTATGTGGTACCTCAACATGGACACTTCTATGTTTTTATAAATCAAAAGTTAAATTTAAAGAAATTTTAAAAGACCACTTTTTATCCAAGCATCTAGGAGATTTGCCCTGGTTGTGCTGCTCCTGTCAGAGTAATTTTGCAGTTCCAGGTGAAAGACTTTACGGTTCTATTTCACATTTTCAAAACTTCAGGCCTATGAGCTCACTCCCCCTTCCCAGCCTCATCAGTTAGCTACAATTTTCAGAGAGAATTTTGAGAAAGAAGCCCTCTAGGCAACTCTGCTCGGAATTCGTGTACTTAGGCATTAGACTAGGTAAGGTTCCTGAAGTCTGGGCCCATCTTGGTCCTGTGTTTATTGCACCACTTCTAGACTACAGTTAGTTTTTCGCAACAAAGAAAATGTTGGTTACATATGTGAAAATAATGGTTTGGTGGAAAGGAGAGCTTTTTATTTCTCTCCTTTGTTAAACAGCTTCACTACATTTGCTGCCATCAGCTGTGTCTCAGATTCATGTATACAAATATCTAAAAGCCTAGTGGCTGCCTGGAACTGAGCTGGATGTGGGACGTAGCAATAATACAGGCAGAGTTCTATTCTCAAAGGGGAGGAGAAACAAAACCAAGCATATTACGGTACATAATTTCAACAAGTGTGACATATGCCACTATTAAAAAGCAGCTGGGATTATGAGGAAGACATTGACAAGGGCCGAGGAAGGTTTCTACGTGTCCCTCAATGGCCCTGAAAGAGATGTGAGCCCAGCAAGAAAGGTATTTGTTATGGCTGTGTCCAGATGTTCCCCAAAACCCCCTGAGGTCATAGGTGGGGCTTTTCAGAGGTGACTGAATCTGGAGTGTGTGATGCTGGGATTAAGGGTGTGTGGTTACTAAATCAGTCCACTGATTGGTTTGGCACTGCCCTAATTCCAGTGGCTTAGACAGAATATAAAAGGGAAGAAAGAAGCTGCTAAGTTCCCCTGCTTGCTCCTGCCTGCCTGCCTGCTGAGGACTCTTCCGCCTCTGGGATGCTCTCTGCCATGCCACCCTGCCTTAGAGCCAGCTCATTATATGAACGGAAACCTCTACAGACTGTGAGCCAAAGGGAGTCTTTACTTCTTCCTTTACCCTTGGATGTTGGGTATTTTGTCTCAGCGATTTTTTAAAAAGTAACTAAGACAGGTATACAGACAGGCTGGCAGAGGGCCCTTTAAGCCATGTTGGAAATTTAAAACTTAATCCTAAAAGCATGAAAAACCATTGAGGGTTTTATACAAGATAATATGGTCAGATTTGCCTTTTAAAAATATCACTGTGGAGTAAACAAGAGTGAATGTTCAATCTTTTTGTGTGTATACCTAAAAATTAATCAAAATTTCTTTGGTCATCATTTCAATAGGAAAAGATTTTAAAGAACATACAATATGTATAAGCTCCAAACGACAAGACCTGAAAGCCAGCCAGCACCCTGGAATATTAATCTAATATGGCGTACTCTCAAACCACCCCCGACCCTCACTTCCCAGTGACGCTACGGGCCTATTAGTCCATGTTCTGAACCAGCCCTCCTCTCTCCAGACTGGTGGGCCCCGCTCCGGCTCCTGAAGGGCTCAGGGGTTAAAGTTTTCAGCCCCTGCACGAGTTGTGACATGTTCTTTCTGATCTGCTTTGACCAAGGGCTGACGGCCTCCAGGTATTTTCCAGACGCCTGTGCCCCTTCACGTGGGCTTCAGGCTCTGAACAGCCAGGGCACTGACTGGCTAGCCTCCTTCCCCACGCTCTGCACCTGGTCTGTTCTCAGGGCAGAAATCATAAAGGAACTCAGTCCTACGACATCAAGTACAGACTGGTAAGCTCTGTTTGGCTCTGACCCTTACTTGTGTATTCTTGGGAGCTGCCCACTGTAACTGCTTCCCTGAAATCCACCTGGGGATGCCTGGATACCATCAGACGTTCTCCTTCATCACAGATGTCCATTCGGTTCCCAAAGAACTGGAAAATTATTTTTTAAACTTTTTTCTCAATTTTTATTCGTATATGTACATAGTATATAATAATCCCATTCCTCACAGAATAAAATTATTATATTGGCAACTAACCAAAATATGTCACTTCTAAACATTTAAGTATATTTCTCCCAATTGCTTACTCTTTATTCTTTTTAACAAAATAAAAACAAGTCTCACGATGTCCCCTTCTGAATTTCTACTGCACCCACTCTGACGGTGAAGACCCTTGACTCTGTGACGTGGAAGCCACTCTCCTCAAAGCCCCGGAAGCAGTCAGACCTGGGCTCCTATTCCGGCTTCACTGTCCTGGGTGTAACCTTAAGTGTTTCTTCGTTTCCCTGGCCCTTGTTTTCTCCTATATAAAATGAGGCTATGCAACAGTATTTATTTTTAATCATGTGATGTTTCCACAGATTGGGTGGCTGAAAACAGCAGGACTTATTCTGTGTGTCAGCAGGCTGCTTCCTGGGCAGGCTGCACCTGCACAGTCCGGCCGTCCCTCGGTCCTTCCGGCCTCCTGCGGCTCCTGGAGAGCCCTGCATGCTCTTCCCAGCCCTCCAATGGCTGTCTCCCATGCTATGCCCTGCCCTCTTCATATAAGGACACCACTCATTGTATTTAGGGGCTGCACCAATCCCAGGTGAGTTTGTCTCAAGATCCTTAACCAACGACAGGTGCAGAAACTCAGTTTCCAATGAGCGCCACACTGAGGTCCTGGGTAGAGCTGACAGGGACGTACTATTCCACCCCACACTCGCTGGGGTACAGCGTGCTTCCGTTACACTCAGGAAGCAGTCAGGTCCACACAGAGAATTCACGTTACAGTGGAACTGTAGTCCATGCTTCTGCACTCTGAACTGTTCGGCTGTGCTTTTATTTTAAGACAAATGGTTACTTTTACAAAGGGACAGTGTGTTGTTCTGCTACAGAAATGACAGCTGTTGTACCACTGAACACGCACTAGTGCTCAGGGAGCCCTTTTCTCTTCCCATCCCTAAGCTTAGCCTCAGAACAATGGCTTGGTAGCAAGTTCATGTGCAAATTCCAGGAGATTATACATACTACAAAGATAAAGAGAAAATTCCGATTTCCTATAAGCGGAGGGAGTGGCTCTCTTTTCAAAACCTGACCTATTGCAGCCATTTAAATACTAAGAAATAAAAGTGCATCTAAGAGATGTTTGCATCTCTTAGGAATACAAGGGTTTGAAGAAAGATCTGGATAGAAATTAGAAACTCGATTCTGTTATTCTTTACTTTGCTAATGACCACGTGAAAATTCATCGGGTCTTTTGTCAGTTAAATCCCTGTATATTTTCCTCCCGGTGTAATGTCATCTAGCATGTTTCTAAGAAGGACAGCATTCCCACACAGTCTGCTTGTCTCCAGAGCAGCAGCCTCACTCTCTGCCCCAGCAGGAGGCGGAGCCAGCCAGCCAGCCTGACCACTGCACTCCTGCTCCTCCTCCCTCACTCCTGCCTCTTCCTGATCTCTTGCCCACTGAGTCCCAGTGTTCAGACTTCCTGGGACTGCTGAAACCCACCCGCTTCCCCCAGAGACTCGTCTCAAGCGTGAGTGATCTCCTCATTTTTATGCGCCTCCCTTAGGCAGGAGTGGTCTCGCCCCTGTCCGCCGTGCTGCAGCTCTGCCCGAACACTCACGAAATGTCAGCAGAAGGCCAGTGGCACAGCTGACTCTGTCGGGCTCTCCCTGGGGCTCCAAGAGACACCACAGCCTATCTGGTTCTCCTTCCAAGGTCTACATCTCTTACAGCAGGAAAAAATTCTGACCTGTGATGTATGTGGGAAAGAATGGGAACCAAGGAAAAGCTTCTAATTCTGTATCAAAAGAGACACTCTGCATCTCCCAACACCCTGCATCTTCCACTCCTCCACACCTTACAGAATTAGGAGGCCTGGGTCTTGCTATGTCTCCGGGGCTGCTGAACACACACTGCAGGAGACAATGACACCGATGCTTCAGCTCCTGCAAGGTGAGTTTTTAAAAACACCCACTTTACACTTCCAAGTGCTGCCTCTGACCTCCAGCAAAATGGACTGAGAAGGAGATGCTCACAGACCTAAACTGTCCACCTCGGAGCAGCCGTGGGGTTCCGTATACGACAGTCCTTACCTGGATTGGGTTGAAGGTATTCAATTGTTTTCGTCATTATTTCCATCACAGCCCTGCTGGTGACATCCACCTTCTGAAATAAGAAAATAAACATTCTAAGTCTAGAATTTGGTTTTTCCGAAGTCTGTATACAACCACCAGAGGGGCCACGAAGTCTGTTCACACAAGAAGGAAGCTGATGGCTTCCTGATGCTCATTTCAACACGTGCTCCCTTACTCCTGGCACAGATAAGCACATTCTGCCCCCAGAGCACCTCCCAGATGAGGACGGTGCGTCAGGCACGGTGGCAGGTTTTGTCACCCTAAAGAACAACGCAAGACATGAAGTTTTTACTTAACTTCTGAGAACGTTCCAAGGACACGAAACCTTCAGCCAGCAGCTGTAGCCGACCCCTGAATGGCTGGTGAGTTCCAGAGACAAGTCTCGGTGTTACAGTCTATCCTGGAAGGCTGTGAGTGACCTCAGTCTGCCGTGACCCCGGCCAGGTCGGCTCCCCACTTAGGGATGGGGCTGTGAATTCATGTAACAGTGAACTCACGCTGATTGAATTCAGGAGAACGTTTTCGTCTGTTGTTCTCTCCAGACACTCACCTTCCCGTCTCTGTACTCCTTCCGGCAAGCGCCTGCTGCCCTTCTGCTCACCTAACCCAGGCTCCCTATAGACAAGCTCCAAATGACCACCTTCGTGACACCCACCCAACAGGGCACAGCTTTCAGCAAGTTTATTCGCTAAGCCCTTGCTCTTGCTTGAATTCGAACAGACCATCATCTGACAGAGGAAGAGACCCGCAGGGCAACTGGCCCATGCCTTGAACGTTTAAATGTGCAGTTTCAGGCCAGGAGGACAGAAGAGCTAAGTCCGCGAAGACAGCAAGGGTGCACACCGTCCTGTCAGCTTTCCCCACCTTCGCTTTACCGACGACCCTAACTGGTTTTTCTCATGTGGAGTAGCATTCTTTTTTCTTTCTTTATTTTTTTTTTGAGACAGGGTCTCACTATGTAGTTGACCTGGAACTCACCACATAGTGCAGGCTGGTCTCTAATTTACAGCAATCCTCCTGCCTCAGCCTCCCGAGTGCTGGGATTACAGGCATGCGCCCACACCTAGGTGAAGTAGCATTCTTTTTGTTCTTCCTCAACATATTTTTCTTATGCCCCTTCAGAAGAATTTGATTTTTATTAAAAGGGCTACGCATGTATCTCCATTCCTACAATTCCCACTGTTCTGACACAGGACACTTTCTGGGTCTTTAAAAGACACGGCACACAGCTGGACCTCTGAGATGTCCCCCACATCTCAGGGACAACTGCAGGACTGGGCTCAGATGCTCTCCCCTCTAGGAAGCTTCCACTGTGACCCAGCCTGCACCCAACATCTCTCCTAGGCCTTCCCTGGGAATCCTTCCAAGGCACCACGTACCCCAACTCCTGTTAACCTGCGCCTCCCCGCTGGTCCCTATCAAAACCAGAAGCCCCCTGAAGGCAGCAGTGGTCTCACTCATCTTTGTATTCCTAGTGCCCAGCACAATGCCCTGTACACGGAGGCAATCATTTGATTTCCCAACTGGATTAATGAATATAATTACACACCATACCAACCAACCAACCAACCCCTAGAGAAGTACTGTGGCAACTGATAGAAATCCGAGAAGAAATCAAATGCCCTTCAACTTCAGAATTTCCTTTAAGGGGCCAGGGATTTAGCTCAGTGGCACCACTCCTGCCTCACAAGCACAAGGTCCTGAGTTTGATCCCCAGTACCAAGGGGAAAAAACATGTCCTCTTAACAAAAATCCTACAGCTTTTCAAGGGACAAATCCACCCGGTGTCTGTACAGTGACCACAGACAGCATTTACATCTAACACAGGCACTCCAGGAAGGACAGTGACAACACTGTGAGGAATCACCACTGGCTCCCAGAGGGCTGGGCTGCAGGGCAGCCTTAGAGACAGCCTCTAGGAACAGCTCCTCTCCCAGCAGTACTGCTCAGGCAGATCTCTAATTCATTTCATTTTCTTGTCTAATTGCACCTCTGAGAATACAGCAAAAAATAAATAAATGAAAGGTCTCTTTATCTCAACTGCTTGATAATCAGAAATCTAACTATGGAAAGGTAGCTCTTCTGTAGGCTTGGAAAGACTGAGCTGAAATACTTCTGTGAGCCTCAAATTAACAGGAAAGGAATGATCTGAGATTCCGAATCCAAAACAAATGGTTTTCAATTACCATAGAAATCGTATAAAGCATGGGGGGAGGGTACAAAATTTGCAATAGTCACAAATAATACAAAAATGTATGCAATAAAACAATATGCATACTTCAGTGAAATCGAAGTCCCCAATTTTACAAACATAAAAACTCAAATGTGGGCATATTCTTCCAACAGCCGGACATTTACTTTATTACGGGAGTATCCAGATTGTGAAATACAAGCTTCAGAAACCTTCTATGGAGTAGGAAGATAAATCTCATGTTTCGTCTTCACTCAGGATATCTGGGGATATGTGGCTGAAGCAAAATACTTGCAAGATTCTCTTTTATTTTAGTCTGTGATGTGGGCATAAACTTCAGAGCAAAATAAGCCTCCAAAGGTCTAATTAGTTGCTCAGTGATAAACTCTACCGTGTGCTCCACACTTGCTCTTCTTTTAAGTCTGATTTAAGAAACAACATATACGTCAGTCTAGGCTGAGCGAGCAAGTCCTGGCTGTTGCTAAAGCAGGCTAAATTCTGAGGGAGGGAAGAGGAGCATCAAAGGACAAAACAAGACTGGCTGTAGACAAAGACGGACTCAAGTTAACGGTCCCTCGGGGCTGTTCTCAGTGAGGGAGGAGGAGGTCCACTGTCACTGTCACAGGGAGTGGAGGAGTCGGGTCAACTTATTCCAGGAATGTGTGCCACTGTCTGGAGCCCTAAGGTCTGTAAAAGAAGGAAGCAGAGTACCATTTCCAGTACAGCGAACGTCAGTAGCCACCAGCTTTGGGGGAAGATCAGGTGACACGTGGAACTATCCAAAGATGAGAAATAAGGACCAACACAGACTTCAGTCCCGCTGGGGAAAGTAGCTGCTAGGTATTAGGGGCAATGGGCTGGTTTCCCAGATTGCTGGCTAAGAGTCAGGACTTGAGTATAAAATTTCTCCATGGAAATGGGCAGCCATCAGCAAGGCTGCTCTCAGGAATTTGAGATGACTGGCTGGATCAGTACTAGGCACAATCATTTCACAAGAACCCTCCCTAATGGCAGCCCATTTGTTTTTCAGGAACTCAAGTGTTCTCTGTTGCCTACCTTCATGTTACTTCCCACCAGAAACACAGCAGACTCTTCTATCTCTTATTCAGCCTCACGCCTTCACTCTAATGTCAGGAACATCTCTTCCCTGAAGACCTTCCCTGAAGCTGACTCTGGCCCCTTCTTTTGCCGGCCTTGCCTCGCCAGCCGTGACAGGTATGACCCCACTCTCACTTGTGGGGACCGGGAGCCTTCCAGGCAGAGTGCTGAAATCAGTTACGCTGCTTTTCATCTTTAATAAAACACCTCACAGTGGGTGTCAGTAGTCTCACTTCCCCTTCATGAAAATAAACAGACTCCGAGCAATAAATGGACTTTACAGGAAATGCCAGAGCTGGAGCTGAGTTCCGGTCCAGGTGAGACAGGCTCCCAAACTGCATTTTCCTACCAAGCCCTGATGCCTCCATGCGCCCTGCTGTCAGAAAGTCCTTGACAGCAAGAGGGACTCAGCGCCCTTCCCAGGCACTGGGAAATGTGTCCACACCTTCTCCTTGCCTCTCCCACCCTCCACCCGCTTAACCCCACCACCTGCTCCACACTGGCCCTATTCTTGTATTATAGCAAAGCAGAGAGAAAACCCATCCACCAACTGTGTCACCCACGACATGCGCCTTCCTTGAGGTGTCACTGTCAGGTCAGGACAAAGGGAAGACCGGAGACTTTACATTTTCTGTTTTAAAACACTAAGAGTATTTTTAAAACCACAGGATGTGTTCTTAGACACAAGCGGAGAGCGGCAGCCTCTTCCCCCTTCCGGAGTGGACAGTCTCACATCAGAGGGAAGCCTAGCGGAGGACTTACCCTTTCCATCTCTTTGAAGTCATCATCCAGCTTGGTTCCTTCAGCTCCTCCGACCTTCTCGCTCACTTTCTGTGGAAAATAACCACAAAGGAGAGTTACTGTGAACAGTATCTTTTATAAAGAGATATTAAAAGTTGCAGCCACTTTCAGAAATCACCCAATGTAATCTTACAACCACTGCCTGACTTAGAGGACAGTCCCGTTTTCACAGTAGGAATGGGCTCGGGAGGTTTAAACAGTTTGCCACAGGTCATGGACCTCACAGGTATTAAAACAAGAATTCAAACGTCTATCTTCTGAGTTCAACACCGGTGCTCTTTCTACTATACAAACTACTACACAATTTCCTAATCACTAGGATTTTTCTTTTGAAAAACAAGGAACAAGAGCATCACACAATAATCATTTTCTTCTGATAATAGATCTAAAATACTACCTAGGTAGAAAATTGCTATTTCTTCTACTTATTCCTCAATGGGTTACTGAACAAACAACCACAAGAAAACACCTAACTATTAATACAAAAATGAATCAGCCCAACTGATCTTCAGATAAAAAGACTTAAATACTAGTCTTACAGAGCTCCCTTTCACTGTCCACATCCTACTTATAAAAAACAAACTCTAGGTAAAATGTCAAAGGGATTTCTTTTCTATGCTATCATGCCCAATTATCACATATTTTATGTTCATAAATTAATAAGCAAATTATTGTTTTCCACATATAAAATTCATGTTAATGAAAACTGGATGCTCTATGCTTTCCTGAAATTCAAATTCAAATTACAGATAATAAAAGCACAAGAAAAAAACAAAAATATGACAGGGAGGGAGGGTGGGGGTTAGGGTTAAAGGGGGTGGGGAAATGGGGAAAAAGTAAGAACCAAGATGGATTATGTTAAGGTGCAAATGTCCACTGATGAATGTCATTACATGTATACCTTAAATGTACCAATAAAGTTAATATAAATATACTACAAACAGGAATATTGAATGCTAACTAAATGACTCATGCCCCTTAAAACTGTAAAAGCCAAGGGATGTTTCTCCAGGGACATCGTGCCTTACACGCAGTTATCACCAGCAGCAAAGTGTAACTTCTGATCTCTCGATCGCCATCGGCTTGAGAGTCTGCAGAGGATCCCACCAAGGCTGGCTTGCAGCACTGTCAGCAGCTGCTTGAACTGTTCACAACTGTGTCTTGTCTCTCTCTGCAAAGGGGCCTCAGGACACCCAGCTCTAGCTCCTGAGCATGGAGCCTCTGACAGCCCCTTGCTGGGGCTGGAGGCACGTTTCCAAGTCTCTCTCTCCATCCTGAACTGCTGCTTTCTACCATCAAGGCAAACTTCAGCACGGACTACTCTTAGGAAGGCTGAACTCTTGGAATCCTTCTCCACTCAGCTCTGCACAGCAGATGCCATTCCTCTTTGCCTCGGTAATTAACAGAAGGAGCCTAACACAGAGGCAGAGCGTGGCATGGACTGATTTCCCCACTCTTTGGTACAGTCACACAGCTGGTAAGAAAATCACATAGTACAGCAACCATAATAACTTGTATCTGAGCCCACAAGGTATGTATCAAATCCTAGTTCCCTTCTCTCGCCAAGAAATTATGTATTTTCTTATAGTATTATGATTTCTCTCATCAGTTTAACTATCATTTCATAATCTGAGAAGCTAGCACTTTTCCTTAATATAATCTTGGGGAGATAAAATAATTCAGACTGAAAGGTTAATTAGAGTTTATACCACTGACACAGATGTGTTTGCTAAGAAGTATGAAGAACAGATATTATTACCATGTTGTAGATAAGGAAACTGAGGGCTGCACATTAATTGTCCATAGTAGGCAGCTTTAGCTAGGAAGAGACGGAATCAGGACCTGAGTGCACGTTTTCCACTCCACCCCTCCAGCTTCTCTAGGTCTGTAGTAGTTTGAAGAGCTGTCCATGGTGCTACATCTCTCTGCTGTGGACTGACTAGCTTGACTCTCTCTGTACCATCAGTCCCGAGAGATGCTACTGATCAATGATCTCAGCAGTCTGCACAGACCAGGCTTTCCCTGACAGTAATATCACCTAACCTAGACCCTGTAGTAACTGTGAGCTGGACCAGCAGCCAGCTTCTGTGCCTGCATCTTAAAAGATTTTTACTAAACCTGAAATGAGAGGGGAAAATAAGAGAGGTTCTACACTAGAATTCAGGTAAGAACACTTCACTGGAGTTCCAAGTCCAAATCACCTGATCTGCATGTTTTGATTTAAATTACAGGGATTGGGACCAGGGATTCAGCTGAGTGGTTCTGCCACCTACAATGTACTGAGTTTGATCCCCAGTACCCCCCCAATAAAATTACAGGAGTTAGTAATAGAAGAGGATGTAAGGGTTATTAATACCAGACTGTCTCATAACCCACTTTTTACTGTATAACACTGATTTCCTCCATATTCCAAAGTCTCACTTTTGTCAAAGAGGATTATGACAGATACCCTCACCTGTAAATGATACATATAGCTTCATTTCCAAAATGGACACCAAAAACCATGTAGCTGCAAAATGCTCTCATTTACATAAAATTAGAGAATCCTGGGATGGCTGCATTTGACTAACTCTAAAGAAAAAAGACTTTCTTCCAAATTATATGACTTCTGTCACATTTTCCATATCACAATGCTCAGCTGAGAGTGGTTTCAAATCCTCCCCGACTTCCTGCATCCACCAAGAGCTCAGCACCACGGCAGCGGGCTCATGACATACAGGGGAGGCTGAGTCTACACTGGGCACTGATTAGAACCAGTGCTGCCAACTCACACCAACACCGGTTCTTCAGTCTGTGTACTTATGGGCTCACACACCCAATGACAGCTGCCACGAATGCAAAACTGACAGGAAGGCAAGGAGAGGGACAGCAAGAAGGCAGGCAGCCCAAGACAGAGAGCTGGAGGGATCGTCTCTTTTCTCTACAAAAACTGCCATTTGAGTTGTTCTGAGAGCAGCAGTTGACCAAATGCAGTGAACACTGGCCTGATTGGTTGGTTGATATAAAAATTTCTCATCTAATTAAATCCCTGAGGGGGGAAATGTATTACTCAAAATGACATCTACATTGCTCTCTGGGCTATTTTTCTAAGTCACAAAGGATCTAAATATATCAAGGCACTGAATTAAACACTGAGCTAAATAACAACTGACTCACTGCTTAGGAGCATGGCAAATATCTTCTTTTCTTTCAATAAATGTTACTAAAACTTCATTCGTTTTATGCATAAAAATCAAGGTGAAGAATACAGACACAGAGAGTCTGCTGACCAATAATAACAAAGACATTTCCAGGTGATGTCTTCACCTGGTACCATTTAAAATTGTGTGCTATTATTTTCCGCGAGGTGGTTTCTAAAACAAAGCTTTCACAGTATTGAATATCTTCTGATGCTGTTTGGTATTGTTTGCCTAAATGACTGCTACTGGAGAAACCAGACACCTATTTAAACCAATTTTAGGAATTATCGGAATTAAACACAACAGTGAAAGTCAGCCAGTGTGAGCTTCTCTACCATCTACAAACCCAGAACAACTCCTGAAAATAATTCTGCAGTGCTTTCTAGAAACCTAAAATCACTGAGTGTCCAAGGTCTTCGGGGAGACCCTGGAGCATGACATGGGAGCCTGTACTCCTAACCCGACCTTGAGCTTCCCATGCATGCTGTATTGTGATCGCACCAGAAGTCTTTCCCCACTCTAGTCCATCAAACACTCCCAGGAAGGACTCGGTGAAAGTCTGTCCAACTGGACCACAGTGTGCACCTGAGAACACCGCCGTAAGAGGAACAGAGCCAAAGAGCCCAGAAAGCGAAGCAAAATTAATCACTTCAGTCAGGAACAGTTTTTCAAAAAAGGCGCAACTTTCAACAGAGAAAACAGATGATGCCATAGGCTCAGTTTTAAATTAAGTCTTCATTTTGAGTCCGCAATAGCAAGTGTCTCATGCTGACTATTTTCTTCCACACCACGTAAGAAAAATGATCAAGGGAACCAGCAGCAAAAGGCGCCTTGAATAGATGGCTGCTCAGCCCAGCTGAGAGGATCCGTCCTGCTTTCTAGCAATGATTCACCCGCCCTGGAGTCAGCCGTCACCTCCAGCAGCAGACACTTTAACTCTCAGCTGCAGCCTCCATTCTTCACAGCTGTGTGTTTCAGGCACTCAACTGAGAGGTGCACAACAGCCATGCCCAGGAAGGGCCTGCTTTGTTGTTTTGTTTGTTTGTTTGTTTTGGTACTGGGGATCTTCTTGAGACCCACATCCCTGAAATCCCACAGTCTCAACACAAACCATCCACACACACCCACACCCGCAAAGCGATTTATCTCCCGACTTTCCTGATTTTGCTCGGTTTTATCTCCTATTATTCAGGCCAGGTTTCCTTACTCGCTATAGCATGAGCTGGGTTCACTGCCTCCATTTCACACTGGAATCTGTTCTACTTTAGTGACTCTTCGGGTCGCTAAAGGTTTTAATCGCTCATTCAGATTTCACCTCCTCCACTACCTGCGAGGGCCCAGGCTCTGGACTCTGACTGAGGATCGCTGTTCAGGGAACACCTGGCACGACGTGGTGAGCACAACTGCCAAGGCTTTTGCTCAGCTGTTGTGAGACGCGGACCTAAGGGGTCAGGCCACATACATTTTCACCAGGATGTGTCTGGCGCTTCAGTACAGATACAACACCTGGAGAGCAGAACAAATCATCTCACCAAACTGTAACACGAGTCAAGGGAAGACACCTGGCTGTGAGTCAGCCCTGGTTCTGAATCGCCTTTAGGAGAGTGCAGTCTCCCCTCTACCAACACCCGTTCTCCATCAGAACAGTGATCAAGTTAGGAAATTCAAGTCTGACGTGTAATGGTTTACGATGGCCAAGGCAAAAGGAAATCCTATCTTCACTGCAACTATTCTGCATGCACCCACTGTATTAATTTTAATACAACTACAATTCATTTACTACGTTATTCCTGTTGATCTCAGCGCTCCTTAAATACAAGCTGTGCCTTTTAGTTTACTGCATATATACAC